TGTGTCAACTGATTCATTTGAAATTTAACACACTTCATATATTAGTTGTTTCGTTTAATATTAAAAAAAAAATTTGTTTCATTTCGTATGTTTTATTTTATTATTTTTGCTAAGATTTACATCAGTTTATAATTCAAATAATTTCTAACTGAGTTTTGAACCTCCAAAACTCTTAACTTACTTAAAAATATTTCAATTTTTCGGGGATATGCTTTAATTCACCGACGTGGTGTGTCCAAGGCTGGTTTTACTGTTATGTAGGTTGACAGTTGGTTTATGGCTTGAACTATGTAATTTTCTTCGATTTTAATATAAAACTAGATGGCAAAAAAAAAAAGTATGCAATTTAGCTTAACAATTTGATTCACATCTTTTTGTTTGTCCGTAGAAGTTCTAGTACCAAATTTCCAGTCTGTTGATCGGTCTTTAATTGCGTTTTTGATATTCATTAAAATTTTGGTTTAGTAGTTGACGTGGCATTAGAGCAGTGACTTTCCAGGAAAGTTTTCCAAACTTTAATGATAATCTGAACAAAAGATTCACTTCACCATTAAAATAAGAAAAAAATAAACCAATGCAATGGCAAAATAAATGAAAAAACTGTCGTTTAAATACCGAACTATCCGGTTTGAGTCAAAACAAATACCAACTTGTTAATGAGTCATAAAAATCACAAATTTGTGTTGACTCGGCCAAATTAGGTATATTAGTCAACTTTAACAGTTTTTTTTAAAAAACGTTAACTTCGTTTATTGTAACCGTTAAGTGTCAAAACGACGTCGTTTTGATATTATGAAAAATGACCATTTAAATACCAAATTCTTCGTTTTGCGCCAAAACAAATACCAACTTTTTAATGAGTCATAAAATATACAAACTTATGTTGACTTTGCCAAATTAGATATAATATTAGTCAACTATAAATCGGAGTCCAAATCCGGAGACATAGAAAGACGAGACCCTCCAAGATTGTAGCGTGAGTAACATAATCACTCTATTTGGGGTTGTTAGTTTTCTTTCACCTTACCTCAAAATACTCACGGGATGTTATACATAATCTCGAATGCGACTACCAATTGCATAATTTATTATGTGTTTTTTATAATAAAAAGAAGGAGATAGCAAGATTTTTTATAAGAAAGAAAGGAGAATCACAATTGTCAGAATTAGTGGCCTAGTCTCCCGAAAGGTCATGCTCGAGTATCGCTCTAATGCAGCTCTGCCCTAAGGAGCAGTTTTGCCTCCGACTCTACCCCACAAAATGATGAGAACTTCTCAGTAGTCTCAGAGGAGACAAGTCGGTTGACTCACGCCATAGGTCTCCATGAGAGTTCTCATACTAACTCGTCAGGTCTCCAGACTTAGATTTTCGCAATCTCGTGCCCTCCTAGATTTTCATACTCAGGCTACGACCTTCAGGGATCTCGTGTCCTAACAAGTTGTTGGACTCACAAATCATATATCTATTATATTTTTTCAAAATACA